AATTAGGGAAACACTTATCTTATATTCTTCTTGTTTCTAAGGACCACCAACTTAGGGGCAAAGAAAACGAGAATTCCTAACTCGGTTACTTTCTCTCCTTCCTCTCCTTTTGAGACATGCCTGCCTCATGAGGACAGGAACTCTCATCGGCTCTGGGTGTGGCTTGCACCTGTCCATTTCTGCCAATGACTGGGAGGTAAAGATAGCCATTTCAGGGTTGAATTTAGCGAGTGCTTTGTGGCACAGCCCTAAGCTGCAGTCTCCAGTAGCAACTGCATTGGTATTATGCAATAAGTAATGAAGTTATATGTATGTAAATATAAAGCTGCATATATGTGAATAGTTCATCTGTCTGTCTCCTGATTTGTCTCTCATTTGGTTTTAAACTCAGTATCGTTCTTTAAAGTCAACAATTTAAAAAGTAAAGGTCACTTGTAAAGGATAAAGAAAGACACTGTTTTCAACTCAGATACTTCTAATATAAATTAGAAGTAAATTCAAAAGATCTAGTTAGCAAAGATTATATTTTAAAATACACAATAAAGTATAACATATACCAAGGTAATTAACAGTGACAGATGATTTTTAGATGACTAAAATGCTATTCATTTTGAAAGTTTAAACCAAGTGTTTTCTCTGTGAGCATTTGTGACTGGGACTAAAGTTGAATTATTTTTAAGGATGCTGGGTAAATATCATTCAGCTATTCTCAGATGCCACCATCATCTTGCAGTGTGAGAGAATCTGTGAGAGGGAAGATAGCAGCAGTCTCCTTGCTGAAGACCACAGGTGGCAGCTGAAGAACGCAGCACGAGATCTGGCCCAGAAAAAGGACTCAACACATGGCATTTCTCAACCTGTGTCTCTTAAAGGCAAAAATCACACATGGAAATACCACTACTGAGCACACTTTAAAAATGATTCTGCAGATAGATGCCCATGTCTAACAGTAGTAATATGGAGTATTTGTCAGCACGAATCAAGCAAAGTCTCAAAAATGAACAGTACAATTCATTTTTAGCATTCATGGTTAGGAACTCTATAGCCATACTGAGCTATTCATTTATCAAAGGTATTTCTTACTAGGGAGAATGTTCATGTATAAATGGTCAAACATTAAATAAATATGGTATGATATATATGTCAAAACTTCAAGATTTAATATATGTAATGGCTTACTTAAAGACATTTTCAGTTTGTTCATAATAATCCAGTGAATATCATATATACACATCCAGTGAATATCATATATACACATACATATATATATATATGTGTGTGTGTGTGTGTGTGTGTGTGTGTGTGTGTGTGTGTACACACACACACACACCAGTGCTGGGGGCGGAGAGGGGCGCCTGGAAGCTGGAACCCGGGGTGTGGGGGTGTGTGGGGGGGTGAGTGTGTGTCTGTGTGTGCGCGGGCGCGCGCGCGCTGGAGGAGCGGTGTGCTGGGGGTGAGGGGAGGCACCTGGACTGGAGGCAGCGATGCATTGGGGAGGCGGAGCATTGGGCGGTGCCGGGGCTGTGGAGAGAAGGAAGGGGCTGGAGCGGGAGGAGGAGGGCAGATCCTAGCCGTGGGGGTAGTGGGGTGGGCATTGGGCGGGGCTGTGAGGAAGGGGCGGGGCCCCGAGGCCGGGGAGAAGGGCACAGCGCCCCCCTCCCTCCACACTCTACCTTGCTCGATTTCCCCCTCGCGCTCCGCCAGCTGCTCGAAGTCTCGGATAATGGCGCGGGCAGCCAGGTGGTGGAAGGTCTCGCTCCACAGGTCGGCGTCGCGCCCGCCGCTCCGCTCAGGGCCGGGGGGGCCCAGCTCAAAGCTCACCTCCCATTGCAGACGTTGGCTGTCGCGCAGACCCTTGACCACGGCCTTGCCCAGCACGGTGTCTGGGGTGGCGGGCCTGCCAGGACTGGCCTGCTCCTCGGACTCGGCCAGGGTCTCCCAGTCTGAAGACGTTTGGCTCTCGAAGGCCGAGGGGTGATGGGACGGCTCTGCGGGCGGAGGAACAAGAGGGCTGGTGCTCTGAGGAGGGACGGAGGACCAGCCCCTAGGGAACGTCATCCCTTTCCAGGGCACACATACCCCTAAGCAAGAACAGTACAGTACCCCAACACCCACCCCCAGGGAACACACAGCTCCTTTCCTAGAACAGCTGGGGAGGCCTGGGCTTGTCCCTAAGAGTGAGACAGACCCACCCCTCAGGAAGCCCGCACCTGAGGTGGTTAGCTGAGATGCATGGGTGAATGCAGTCACAGGGGGGACATCTGGGGGGGGGGGACACAGGCAGCCCAAGGGCCAGGTTGATTGGGAAACAGTACAGTACTGGGGTTGGTGAGGTGCTCGTGGAGAGAGGGGGCCACAGCAGACTCCACCCCCCACTCCCCGCAAAGAGCACAGACAAAGGCATCTGCCCTCTAGGCCTGTCACTGACAATCAGGCCACAGCCAAGGAGTCCTCCCAGTCCCCAGTCAGGTCTCAGAACTTGCGGGCACTTACCCAGGTCCCCAGGGCTGCGGGAGTCTGAGGCAGGCTTCAGGCTGGACCCAAGATCCAGCTCTCTCATGGGGCTCCAGACCTGGGTCTCCTGGCTGTAGGGCAGGAAGCGCTGGCACCCTTGGGGCAGCAGAGAAGGCCTGCGGGCCCCTGGGCCCCGGAGTCTGGGGCCCTGGCTCAGGTCCGGGCCCCTGCTCAGGAAGGGCTAGGAGTGCAAGAGGAAGACGAGGAGGCTGTACTCCTGGTGTGTGGCCCCTTCCCTCCACCCCAGTCATAGCTCTTTCCCTAGGCACCCCAGCTTCTCCTGGGGGACTGCCCCTACGGTACCCAAGGACAAATAACCTAGTCTCACTACCCATGAGAAACATCAACACAAATAATCCCAAACCATGGATAAAGTCCAAACCATGGAAAACCATGGAAAACTATGGAAAATCACATACCATGGATAATATCTTGAGCTCACAATTTTTGCCATAAATTTAAAACTTTTTGTGTGTGTGTTTAAAATTAACCTTTTCCTTACGTCTTTCTCATACTGTATGTCATACTTAAAAGGTCTTTCCCACTCAAAAAAAATCCCTCTAGAATTTTTATTTTTGTTTGTTTAAATCTTTGATTTACATGAAATCTATTTTGGTATAAGGAAATAGAAACCAGCCCTTTCCACGATTTTCCAAATAGTACAAATCCCAGCACCATTTACTGAATACGGTTCATTTATTGAGTCTCTAGGGTTTATCAATTCCCCACCTCTGTGCTGACAAAGCTCTCATGCACACTTGGTTTTATTTCTGGGCTTTTTGTTCTGTTTTGTGGGTTTAATCTGTCTTTTTTTGTGCTGGTACAGAAAACATCAAAAGGCAAGAGATACACTGGGAAATACATTTGCACATGCACGACAAAGATTGTTTTCAAGAAAATGCTCTTATAAGTCACTGGTGGGGGGAAATAAACTTAATAAAATAATGGGTCAAGGGCATTTACAGGCAGTTTACAGAAAAAGTATCCAATAAACCCATGAAAAAAAAATGTTCAGCCTCGTGAGCATGGCTCTAAATTAAAATAAATTACAATTCTTTTTTTCCATCTTACAGATTGGCAAATATTTAAACATTTGATGACACCCAGAGTGGTCAATTGGGAGACAGGGTCTTTCACGGACTGTCGGTGGGAGAACAATGTAGCAATGTGCTATCTATCAACATTAAACAGGCAAAAACTCCTCTGACCCAGCGATTCCACTTTGAGGAATTGAATTCTGTGGTAACACACAAGGATGCAAATATCTGTGTACATGTGCTGTATATTTGTTGCAGTGTTGTTTGTAAACAACAAGATTTTGTGAAAATCTGGAAACTATCTAAATGACCTTCAATAAGGGTTGACAAATAAGTTATGATACATCCATGAGATAAAACACCACACCACCCTGCAATGAAAGAGGCAGGTTTTTTTATATTAATTTGGGAAGATGTCCAAGATAAAACTTATCTTAAAAAAGTAAATTGCAACTGTTCGATATTTCGATTGTGGAAATAGGTACATGACTATATATTGGGTTGTTGGAAAAGTCATGATGTATTTTTTTCTGTTTTTCGCTGCAAAAATGCGTCATGACTTCTCCGACAACCCAATAGTTAGATGTATGACAAATATACATTTGTCAAAACTGATAGAATTGTAGACCAAAAAGAGTAATTTTACCGCATATAAAAAAGTGAATTAAGAAGACATTAGAAAAGTAAATTGGAGAAAAGTTTGTATGTGTGATTATTTAAAATGTATATGTGTGTGCATATGTGTGTGTAGCAAGCATTTCTTGTACTTCTCAAAACCAAGTGGGTCTGGGCACTGGGAAGGGGTACTTTTCACTTTATACCCAACTGAACTGTTCGAGGGTTTTTATTGCAAACGCTGAGTATTACTTTTGTAATTAAAGAATATTAAATTAATTAAAAGTGAACTTTGTGCCTCTGGCAGTACATACATTGCCTGGTAGGGGAGAAGATGGAGGAGCAAAGGTACTTACAAGGTGTAACACAGAGAAAGTGCCTCTCAGAGTTTTAGGTCAATAGTTAACCATGGGTGTTTTTTTTTTTTAATCTCCATCAAATATCTATTGGGAAGGGGACTGTACCTTCCCATTAGATGGGGGCTCCTTGGGGTAGGGGCTGGGGTCCTCCTTCCTGTTTCCTTTGGGCCTGAGGTTCTAGGATGGTACTAGGGTGCTGGAGAATAAAGGGACCGGTCACTCTTAGGATGGCCTCAGTGGGAGCTGCTACCCAGCCAGGGCTGCTGGGTCCTAGGGGATCCCTAATCCCCTCCCTCATCAGAGACTGGAATTTTCCCACCTTTGCCCCACCATCACCACCACACTAAGAAACAGAAGCTGCTACAGTTCCCATGGCAACAGATTAATATAAGATTTAGCCCTTCAGCCAGCCAGAGGCTGCAGGGAGTGTGTACATGTGTGTGTGAGCGCGTGTGTGTACGTTCGTACAAACGTGTTGGGGAGAGTCAGACTGGGAAAGAAGCCAAAAAGGGGGGTGGGGGAGAGATAAGCAAAGATGGGCCGGAAGCAAGCAGGAGAGAAGAGAAACCAAACTGCCCAGAGCTCTCACCAAGTAGAGCTGCATTTAAAGGACACCTACTGTGTGCCAGGTGCTGCACCAGGCACTTGCTCTCTCATCAGCCGATGCCTGCAAGCCACTTACAGTTGGCTCCCAATAAATAGATATTTATGGTTGATGGCTGTTAGCTCAATCATCTGCAAAAGCTATCCTTCCCATTTCATAGATGAAGGAATTGGGGCTCGGAGAGGGTAAGTAACATGTGTGAGGAGCAGAGTTTGCCTGATTTCAAGGTCAGTGTCTTCCACCTGCATCAAGTTGATCCCTGGCTGAGGACAGAGAAAGGCCTCCGGGACAAGGTGGCAGGGAGGGATGGAGGTGGTGGATGGGAGTGGGGGAGTGAAAGGGGCTTTTATGAGGATCGCAGTCTTACCATGACAAAGCTACATAAAGCCCATTCTTAAGAAAATGGGATACGGTGTGCAGATAATACCAAACACCAATTTGGTTTAGGAGAGTGTTTCTCAACCTGGTGATTTTGTCCCCCTCCCCAGGGGACATTTGGCAGTGTCTGCAGACATTTTTAGTTGTCATGACTGGAGGTGCTGCTGTTACAGGCACTCGTTTGATAGAGGGCCAGGGATGTTGTCAAGCATTCTACAATACACAGGATGGTCCCACAACAAAAAATGATCATGTCAGTAGTGCTGAGGCTGAGAAACTCTGGTCTAGCCGGACAGTGGGTGACTGATCTTGCTGTGGCTCTAACTCTGATGATCCCTGCGCTGGGCGAATGGACACCTTTGGGGAATTTGCAGAAGGTACAGTGGGATGGAGGGAAAAGCAAGGGCTTTGCAGGCAGAGGATCCTGGTTTGCAATCCCCTGATTAGCTGTGTGACCCTGTGTGAACCTCTCGGGCCCTCAGTTTCCACATCTGTACTGAGTGGGGGTGGCCAGCCCCCATACTCCCTCCTTTCCCAGGGGCGCTATAAAATCAAATGAGAGAGTGGTGGAAATGCTTCTTGACAACTGGGAAATGCTGTGTGTAGAGAAGAGGTGATGTCGTTGACCAATGGGTATCACTATCAGGAAGCTGTCACTGGGGATCAGGCAGACGAAGGTCCAGAAAAAGGAAGTGACTCACTTCTCAGTGTAAGTTGTGGACCGGCTCCATCCTTGTGGTTGAAGCAGCAGACACAGCTCACCCCTGCCCACGGCCTCCCCCAACTCCAACCCGCCCTGCTCAGCTACCTGAAAATCAATCTGCCACTGCGGGGCATCCAGGCTGGTCTGGCTGGTAAGGTCCTGCAGCTTGACTTTCCGCAGTGGGTACCTCCTGGCGGCCATGGTGGGGTCGCTAGCCGTGGTAGACCTTGGGTAGGGCTTGTGGTTGGTGATCTGGTTGGTGCTATATGCTCGACGTCGCTGGGAGTGGTCCAGGCCTGGTCAGGGGTGGTGATAGAGGGGCCATGAGGGTGGAGGAGAAGGACAGGGGGAAAGAGAGAGGGGCTTGCGTACCCCTTTCCTGCTTGGAAACTTCTTGAGTTTTCCACTGTTGGCCTACTGAAATATGTGCAAGTGCCTCAGCTCACCTGGCCTTCAAAGCCCTGCCCAACCTGGCCCTAATCTATCTACCCGGCTGCACTCCTTTCTGCCCCTTTTCAAGGTGCTATGTGCTGCAAACATACTAGTTGAGTAACCAATCACCTATGTGTTTTCTAGGTGTTACACCTCCATACCTTTGCTTGGGCAGTTTCTGCTGCCTAGAATCTCCTGTGTCCCCTATCACTCTGCTTTCTATCTGAGTTAAGGCCAATTGTATCTCTCTCACAAGATGGAGAGCTTCTGAAGAATGGGTGCCATGTTTGAGTCATCCCTGCTTCCCACACTGTGCTCAGTGCTTAATCTTAGTAAGTGATCAGTAGATACCTTCTGAATGGAAGGAAGCTAATACAGTGAAGCAGCTTTGGAGGCAAACAGGTCTAGACTATCTGTACTCTGCCTTTGTCAAGTTCCATGAGCTTAGCCAAGCTACTTAAACTCCCTGTCTCAGTTTACTCATCTGTAAAATAGGTATAACAGTACCCACCCTGCAGCTGCTAATTATCAATGGGATTGTTTGTATAAAGCGCTTAGCACATAGTAAGTGCTCAGTAAAATGTAGCAATCATGACCTCTGGAGAAGTGAGTGAAGCCCAAAAAGCAGCAGACTTACCAGAATTGGTAGTGGAGCCTCCCTTGGATGGCTGGGCATCTTTGTCCTGCCTCTGGTTGAGGGGTGTCCCCAAGTTCTTGGCACAATCTCCACTGCCTGGGCCGGGCCCCTCATCCTGTGACTGGTAGAAGACAGAGCTACTGGACTCCTGAGAGTGCAGCATGTTACAGCGTCTCTTCTTGTCCTGGAGGGAGAGAAAAGAGGGGTGGGAGTGAGGCTAGATGTCAGGAAGGACATCCATAGAGCAGCAAGCAGTGTGCGAGGAGGTGGTGGACATTCCATCTTTGAAGAGCTGGAATAATAGGAAAGCTTTTTGCTTGGTTGGGGAATTTAGGCAGACTTCCATTCACTATTTAAGAAATCATGAATGGAAATGACATCATATCACTTATATTGTTTATATTTTTAATTATCTTTTTTGTTAAATTAAAAAAAACGTAATTCTTTTTTGGATTGTAATTTCTATTTAATGTAACAGAATTTATATATCTTAATATCTACTAATTTGTTTACATATTTCAGTCATATGAAACAAATATAGAAAAACCTTAATATTTAAAGGTTCAAGATCTTTAAATGGAATTTTCAGAAAATATTTTGGGAAATGCTGTCCCCACATTTAGGGAGGATATCTTACATTTAGAATAGGTCAAAAGTTAAATACCACAGTATGGAAACACCCCTTTAAGGCAATTTGCTGTTTCCTTCAGTTGTTCTCTTTACATTTTATCTAAATTACTTTGCTGAACTCTTATATTTTATTTATTTAATTTTTAAAAAAGAATTTTATTAAAAATATAGCTAATATACAATATTATATTAGTTTCAGGGGTACACCATAGTTATTCAACATTTATATACCTAAAGAAGTGATCACCATGATGGTGCCAGCCAAGTGGCTCAGTTGGTTAAGAGCTGGCTTAAGAGCGCAAGCTCTGAGCAACAGGGCTGCCGGTTTGATTCCCACATGGGCCAGTGATGCTGCGCCCGAGCTGAGCTGTCACTGAGCTGCCAACAGGTGGCAGGATGACTCAGCTGGTGTAACAACAAGATTGCCTGTTCGATGGTGGGCTATGCCCACCCGCAACTAAGACTGAACTCAGCACCATGAGCTGAGTTGCCGCCCGGATGGTTCAGTGGATAGAGCCTGCGCTCTTAACAACAAGGCTGCTGGTTCGACTCCCACATGGGATGGTGGCTATGCCCACCCGCAACTAAGATTGAACACAGCACCTTGAGCTTAGAGGCTACGAGCTGCCGATGGGAAGCCAGATGGCTACTGGCGCCCTCCACAACGAAGACTGAAGAACAACAACTTGGCTGGTCCTCTTCCCCAATTCCCCAACACTGTTCCCCTCCCCCACCCCCCACCCCCAAATCTTAAAAAACAAATAAAAAAGAAGTGATCACCATGATAATCCAGCAACCACCTGACAGTGTACTATGCTATCACAATATTATTGATTATATTTCCCATGCTGTATCATTACATCCCCATGACTTATTTGTTTTATACCTGTACATTTGGATCTCTTATTCTCCTTTCCCCCCTTGTAAATTTATCAATTACAGTTGACATTTAATATTATTTTATATTAACTTCAGGTGTACAGCATAGTGGTTAGCCATTTATATACTTTAAGAAGTGATCCCCCTGACTAGCCCAGTACCCATCTAGCACTATACATAGTTATTACCATATCATAGACTATATTCTCTATGCTTTACTTTACATCCACAGTAACCACCAATTTGTACTTTTTAATTCCTTCACCTTTTTCATTCCGCCCCCCAACCCCCTCCCATCTATCACCCCATCAAATCTAGTACCCATCTGACACCATACATAGTGATTACAATATTATTGACTATATCCCTTATGCTATACCCTACATCCTCCATAACTACTTTGTAACAGCCAGTTTGTACTTCTTAATCCCTTCCCCTTCTTTCACCCACACCTCCAACCCCCTCTCATCTGGCAACCACCAAAATGTTTTCTGTATCTATGTGCTTGCTTCTGTTCTATTTGTTAATTTTTTTCTTAGATTCCACATATAAACAAAATCACATTGCATCTGTCTTTCTTGGTCTGATATACTCCACTCAGCACAATACCCTCCAGGTCCATTCATGCTGCCACAGATGGCAAGAGCCCATTCCCTTCCCTGGCTGAGCAATATTCCATTGTATATAAGTACCACCTCCTCTTTATCCATTCTTCCATCAACAGACATGCAGGCTGCCTCCACATCTTGGCCATTGTAAACAATGCTGCAATGTTTGGATTGCATGTAAGGATGCACACGTCCCCTTGAAGTAGCGTTTTGGGTTTCTTTGGATAAATACCCAGAAGTGGGATTACTGGGCCCTTCTTTATCTCTTCTTATAGCCTTTGTTTTAAAGTCTAGTTTGTCTGGTATAAGTATAGATACCCCAGTGTTTTTGTTTGTTTGTTTGTTTGTTTTTAATTTCCATTTTCATGAAGTATCCCTTTACTTTCTGTCTCTGTGTGTCTTTCAATCTGAAGTGAGTCTCTTGTGGGCAGCATATGAAAGGGTTTTGTTTTATTATCCATTCAGCCCTCCTATGTCTTTTGATTGGAGCATTTAATCCATTTACATGGAAAGTAATTATTGATAGATATGTAGCTTTTGCCATTTTATTATCCATAATTTTGATTTTTTTTCCCACTTAAACAAGTCCTTCTAACATTCTTTGTAATACTGGTTTGGTGGTGATGAACTCCTTTAGCTCTTTCTTGTCTGGGGAGCTTTTTATCTGTCCTTTGATTTTAAATGATAGCCTTGCTGGGTAGAGTAGTCTTGGTTGTAGTTCCTTGCTTTTTATCACTTTGAATATTTTGTGCCAACCCCTTCTGGTCTGCAAAGTTTCTGTTGAGAAGTCAGCTGACAATCTTATGGGAGCTCCCTTATAAGTTACTAGTTACCTTTCTCTTGCTGCTTTTAGGATTCTCTCTTTGTCTTTAACCTTTGTCATTCTAATTATAATGTGTCTAGGTGTGGGCCTATTTGGGTTTATCCTGTTTGGGACTCTCTGCACTTCCTGGACTTGTATGTCTATTTCCTTCACCAGGTTAGGAAAGTTTTCTGTCATTATTTCTTCAAACAGTTCCTCAATCTCTTGTTCTCTCTCTTCTCCTTCTGGTCCCTATGATGAGAATGTTGTTACACTGATGTTGTTCCAGAGGTCTCTTAAACTATCCTCATCTTTTTGGATTCTGTTTTCTTTTTTCTCTTCTGATTGGGTGTTTTCTGCTACCTTGTCTTCCAAATCGCTGATTCAATCCTCTGCTTCATCTAGTCTGCTGGGAATTCCTTCTAGTGCATTCTTCATTTCAGTTATTGTATTCTTCACTTTTGACTGGTTATTTTTTATGGTTTCTATGTCCTTTTTTATGCTTGCAATCTCTTTGTTGATGTTCTCACTATGTTCCTTGAGCATCCTCATAACCATTGTTTTGAACTCTGTCTCTGGTAGTTTGCTTGCCTCCATTGATTGCTATTGGCATATCAGTGGGTGGTATTGACACTCAGGCTTAAGGACTATGGGGAATGGCCATGTCCACAGCTTATGGGCTGCTGTGTGGAAGGCTTACCCCACTGAATGGGATTCTCCCCAGCAGGCTCTGGTGCTTGTTGAGACCATCCTTCATGTGTGCCACTTCTGGGGCTAATTGGGTGGTGCTGTGTTATGGTCTGAAGCCAACCTCCAAGTATGTTTGTTCTGGGGCCCTTTGGGAGGGGCTCTGGTGCAGGCCCAGGTCAGCCACTGCCTGTGACTGGCCAGGGACTACATGGTAGGAGTTACAAAGCAATCTGTGATTGTTTTCTGCCTGTGCTAAACCTGGAGGGGTATGGGAGAGGACACACTGTGAATTGAGGATGGCTGCTACCAGTACCAGGCCTGGGGTAACTGCAAAAAGCCAGGACACCCAGGGGCCTGTGCTCACCTGCCAGTTCCCTTAAGGTGCAACCACTGATAAAACCTTGTGTGGTTGTGAGTTGGGTAAGTCAGGGTCTCAGGGAGTCACTAGAGTGAGAAGAGTTGTGGTCACCAGGTTAATGTAGACTCTGGTTTGGTGGCAGTGCTGAGCTTGGAGTGACTCAGCAAGAGTCTCAGAGCACACTGAGGCCAGTTGCTGCCCACCTGGGGCCTGTGGACTCTAATAGTTTTCCAAGAAGGAGTGCAATGCAAGAGGGGCTGGAAAGAAAGTGCCTTGCAAAGAAAGTGCCTCTGGTGGTGTGCAAGTTGGGTGCGTAGGAGTCCCAGCTGAGTCAGCTGGGTGGAACAGCGAAGCTCACCAGGCCAATCAGATTCAGATGTGGCCTGTGGAGGCGGGCTCAACACAGGAAAGATGGTGCCTGCTGGCTGCACAGGAGGAGGACTCCTCACCAGGAAAATGCTGACTGTCCTCCAGTCCTCCCCTTGAAGTCACAAACCTCAGTCTGCCCTCCGTATGTGTCTGAGCCCCCCTGAGTCACTCTCTCTCTGCTGGAGCCCAAGGTAAGTGCCTGTGAGTGAATAAGCCTGTGTGCGGGCAGTTTAAGAAGATGTCTGAGTTTCCTGCAGTTTTCTGTCCGCCCAACGTGTTGGAACCCCCACTGTTTTCAAAAGCCAGATGTTGTTGGGGCTCTTCTTCCCAGCACTGGTACTCCAAGCTGGGGAGCCTGGTGTGGGGGGCTAGGGTCCCTGGCTTCTCTGGGGGGAACCTCTGTGACCAAGATAGCCGTCCTGATTCTCAACTACCACAGGGAGATTTGGGGCTCATTCCACGGCTCTGCCCCTCCTACCAGTCTCGATGTGGCTTGTTCATATTTTTAGTTATAGGACTTGTGTTTTGCTAGACTTCAGATGGTGCTCCAGGTTGATTGTTCTATAATTCAGTTATAATTTTAATGTGTTCATGGAAGAATACAGGCACAGTATTTACTCCGCCATTTTGGAGCTCCTAAAAATGTAATTCTAAATGCCACTGGTGTCTCCAAATAGGTAACCAAAATGAACAGAATGAACCATCTGTTCTCTCCAATCCATTCTCTAGAATATAAACATATATATTTTGTTTTACAAAAACTGGGCCATATTACTTACATTAAATGTATCATGAATTTTGCACTTAAAACATTTTGGAAATCCTGCATGTCAACTATTCTTTTAAACATTTGACTGTACAATATTCTACCACCCCTTATTGGTAATCATTTACTTTGTAGTGATATATTTTTGCCATCATAAAAAATGCTGCAATAAACTCTTGGACATAACCCCATTATATCACTTTTATTTCTATTTGTTAGATCCTTAGAAGGGATTTCTGGGTTGAAAAGTTATGTATTTCTAATTTCATTAGTTATTTCTAGGTTGCTTTCCAGGAGGGCAAGTCATGTTTACATCAACAATGTATGAGGGTACCCTTTACCCAACAGCCTTACTAGTAGCAGGAGAAAACTTTGCCAGTCTCATGGGTAAGGAAAAGGAAATGAATTTATGGTCCCTTCTAGTGGTAGGGTCTGTTGACATCTTCTGCCTCCCAGACCTCCAAGAAGGGCCTAGACTGTGCAAAGACTTAAGCAGCATTTTGTTCAGCATTTCCTATCTGCAGTTGAACACACCACTCTTTATAACACATTGATCATTACTGATCATGGTTCTTAAGAGATTTCATAACATTCTAAAATCTGGAAATTTCACATAAAATTCTAACTTCTCTTGAAAGATTGGAAACACATTTGACACAGGTTACACATTCCTGCATAGCAACAGTTTGTTGAGCTGAGTAGGGGCTGCCCATTTTCGACATGCATGTACCGTCCAGTTTGCCACTTCCCTCACCGCTCTTCATTGCTTCTCTGTGAACTCTGATAACCGCTATCCCTCATGGCACTGGCTGCTTTTATTTTTTTTACAAGTCCACTTCATTCATTTTATATCTGTCCAATCCCTCTAGGCATTGGGTTTGTGACTCCTGCTTAAAAACAAAACACGATGATCTATCTTTCAAGGGTGAGTGCAGAGACTCACTAAAGAAGGCAGATGGGTGGGGAAATAGCTCCTCAGGCAATCTACACATTTTAGCATAAATTCCACCTCCCTTTGAGAAGTTCCTCCTTTTATCCCACTTCTGGCACCACAAAGAAGACAATTATCTGTGCAAACAAATAAAACACAAATACATTTAAGGAGCTATGAGTTGGCTAGAGTGTTTGGGGAAAGAAATCTGAGTTTAGTTGTTCTGAACTGAATTATCATCAAAATCACTTTGGGGAGATTATGTGAAATGAAGGTTCCAGGGCCGTACCCTCAGAGATTTTTATTCAGTAGACTTCGGTTGGAGCCAGGGCTCTGCATTTTAAATATGTTCCTCAGGTTCTTCCGCTATAGGGCATTTTGAGAACCACATATTGAGATGGTGGCATTTACCCAAGCAGTGTCATGATGACCAAACACCCATGGCCTGGCAACTATACCCCACAACTGTAAACCCAGATCCAATTAGTTCCTAGATGCCAGGAACAGTCTTTCCAGCTAGGATGGCTTTGTGGGCATATTTCTGGACCCCCATTAACCCCTTGGAATTTCTGAGGTACTTACAGATCTGGAACTGGAGATGTATAAGGAGGCATCACACACAATGCCATACCCCACCAGCCGTTCTCCAGGGAAGAGGGTGCTGGCGCTGACCGGTGAGATCAGGACTTCGGTGGTCTCAGGGAAGACCCACTCCACAGTCACATCACTCAGGACTGGGGCCATGGCCTTTTTCAGGGATTTGACCATCTGTTGGGCAGGGTCAGAACACAAGTTGGGGAGATGCATGAGCAGGGGTATGGACAGATGAGAAGCATGAAGGCCATGTCGGTATGAGCATGAGGGGGTGTGAGCAGGGAAGAAGTGACCATAGGCCTTGGGGTGGCTTGCCCAGCAGTGAACATGCCACTTACTAGACTCCTAGAAGTGAGAGTTGGAGCAGACTTTTGCTGTCATTTTCTCTAAGCTTAGCATTTTATAAATGACAAAACCCAAGACTCAAAGTAGGGTTGTGACTAGCCCAGGGCACACAGAAAGTTTGTGTCAAAACGTGGACTAGATCGTGGTCTTGAGCAAGTCAATGTGCCATGCCGGGACTCATTTCCCCCCGTCTATGAAAGCGAGTTAGTAATTCTCAACTCTCAATGTAGTTGGGAGGAGTGTCTGAGATACTGGGTTTGAAGTAACTGCCCCTTGATAGGTGTTCAATAAATGACAGCTGTAGTTCAGCATCTCGTAGGCAGATTTTCTCAAATGTACTGCAAGGCTGGAGGAAAATGATCTGGAGATTATGGCAGCTGTAGAGGTACACTCTCAAATCTCCCTTCAAGGGAGATTGGCTGCAAGGAGTGCAGTTGGGTGACAGTCTCCAGATGCAATGCTCTAGCTTTGGAGTCAAGAATGTGCCTCTTCCAGGAAGCCCTCTGGCAACAATTGAGCAAGGCAGGGATTCTAGTGCCTGACATTTCAGCCCAACACAGACCACTAATGGGCAGTCTTTGCTCCAGATCTCCCCATTGGGCCGGCTGAGGCCATGCCAGACCTGCACTGCTGTCTGAGGCTCTCCCTGCCCGATGCTGCTGCCTTCCTTTCCTTTCGCAGGTGTTGCACCTGCTTCGTGGACTGAGAGTTTTCCTTCCTGTTTTTTCCTCTTTTCACTTTCACAGATGCTAACTTCTTGCACTCTTAACTTCTTGCACTCTTAACTTCAGCTCTGTCTCTGATTCCCTGACTGACGCAGGGATTTTCTAGGGGTGCGAATATTTGTGCCAATTGTGCAGGAAATGGAGAGAAAACTATAACCTCCTTGACTTCTGAGCCCTTTAGATCCTTCTGAGCCACCATTTGTCACCAACAGGACTGTGGTCAGAAATAACTCCAAACACGACTCCATGTTCATAGAAGCAGTGACTCCTCCAGGAGCCCAATCCTGCCCAGCCAATGGATGGAGCAGGGGATCTAGTGTCCTTTACTAGCTCTAAGACTTACCGGCTCTGAGACCTCCACCTCTCTGATTCTTACCGGGTTACAGTGTGGCCTAGTTGGAGAGCTCAGATTTGGGGTGAAATCCTAGCTCCACCACTGAGTTGTGTATGACCAGCCTGGGCCTCTGAGGTTCCAGCACCAGAAGAGACTGGGCCCTTCTGCCTACCTTGGGTTGCAGCCGCTCCCCCTCCACCAGGAACTCAGCACTGCCCTTGGACACATTTGCCAGCCCTTTCACCAGCCTGTGGCAGACGTTGGGTCCGATTCCAAAGCTATAGCACCTGGGGGAAGGGGAGGAGAGAGGGGGTTACTTCCCAGCCTCTCCGCCATCTTTGTCCCCTGAAAGGAAAAGGGACAGAGTGTGCTCCAGTAGAATTATCTCACAGCTAGCTTCAGGCAGAGACAGGGAGAAGGCAGCAGGCCATCAGTGGGCGTTTACATTCACACATAAAGCCCGTCACTCAGCAGGAAGGACCTCCTCCACCTAGGCTGTTATTTTGGGAGCTGTATGTAGAGGTAGGGGCATCTCATCCCTCTTAAACTTTTGAGGAGAAAAGGCAAACTTTGAAATCAGCCACACCACCCTGGAAGCAAAATACTACAGTTCTCTCCTTCTGGCATTTTCCATGCCGCCCCGGTCCTGGCACCCCCAGCCCGGGGCAGCCCAGGATAACCAGGCCCTAGACCTTCATCGTGTGCCGACCTGGTGGAGAAGGCGTGGTTTCGCACCAGCTCCAGCACCTTCCCGGTGTTGCTGACGGACCCGTCTGTGATCAGGAAGAGGAGCCGCGGGTGGCCTTGGTGCACTGGCTGTCGCACGATCCACTTGAGCGGGGACAAGATGTTGGTGCCACCCATGTCAGCCCGCATTCTCTGAATGTTATCACAGGCCATGGCCAAGGTCTCCTGCCGGAAAGGAACACGGGCAGGGGAGATAGTTCCCAGGGTCACCATATGGTGTGGAGACTCTAAGCCCCTTGGGGGAGGAGTCCTTGTGTTTCCCTAGATAATAGCTCAACCTCACTGGAGTCCTGTTTGCAATTTCATCTCTGCCCAATGCACAGGAAGAATCGGGGGTCACTTCTTTGGTGTGGTCCTGCCCAGTAACACTCCCACCAATGCCAGAAACGCTACCACTGGTGGTGTATTAACTTGTCCTTTCTGGGATCCTCTTTAAAAATATAAACACCCCTGGTAAAGGCAGCCTATCAAGCCCCTAACTGCTCAGCATAAATGAGGTTTTCTTTTATGAGGAGAGAGGCAGGCGATGGGGTGGAAACTACGCTAGACTGGAAATCTTGAGACTTGAGTCCTGGCCTGACTGTGGTGCTGAATCCCTACGACACTTTGAGGAAATCATTTCCCCAATTGGGGCTCCAGAATCCCTGCCTCCCGGACAAACACTGTGAGACCCAACTGGCCGAGGATTACTGGCCCCCGATGGATGTCATTCTAGCAAGGACAGGTTCTCACTGGATAACAGATGTCCTCCTGCTCCTGACTCAGGAAGATGCTCCCCCAACATCCATGCTTGGAGTAACAGCACATATCAAAAGTCTTCAAATGTATATGTACATTTGACAGAGCAAGACTAGGAATTTATTCCAAGAGCATCATTAAGGATATAGGTGAAGTCTTTGCTACAAAGATGACCAAACAGAAGAAAATGCAAACAACTTAAACGCCCAACTGTAGGGGTTTAATTAGATAAGTGTAGAGAAATACTAGGCAGACATTAAAATTGTGTTGTGGATTAATACTTACTGGCATGGAAATATGCTCACGATAGGCTGTTGTGTTAGAAAAGTAGGTTACAGAACCGCATCGACGGGCTAATCCTCTCTTTATTGAAAATATGTGTAAATGTGTAGAACAAGGTTTGGAGGGATTTATACTAAGCTCTTAACAGTGTTTTTTCTTCTTTTTTTTCCTGACTGATATGATCATGGGAGATTTAAGATATTTTCTTTTTGATGATCTAGATTTTAAAATTATGGGGTAAATCAACATATATTATTTTTGTATTTTAAAAAAACCCATAAACTATTTTTAATTAAAAAGTGGCCCCTACATGCTCCAATTTTGAACATGCTGCTGTGGCCACAGTCTTTTTCCTTATTTTATTTGTTGTTTTTAGCTGAGCCATCCTGCTACCTGTTGGCAGCTCAGCGGCAGCTCAGCTCGGGCCGGGAATGTGAACCGGCGACCCTGTTGCTCAGAGCTCATGCTCTTGAGCAAGCTCTTAACCAACTGAGCCACTTGGCCAGCCCAGCCACAGTCTTCTTATTTCAAGTTGTAGATTGAGCCTTGTGAGTCCCATTCTTAGCCCACTGCCTACCTATTCACTCCATTACCCCTTACTGTTCACTTCTTTAGCTCAGCCTTCCATAAATCTATCATCCCCATGAGACAGAGGCTTCACTGAGTGGTAGGCCTGGGATATATATCCTCTTTCTACCTCTTCCTGTACCCCCTTTTCTGTGTACACCCATACTTTGCCCAACATACTCTTGATCTTAAAGAACAGGGTGTCAGAAGGCTGAGATGTCAGCAAACTGCCTAAACAGAATTAGCCTCTCCTTAGTTCTCTGCTCCTGGGCATTGTCTTGGTCCTACATGGGTGGACAGCTTCTGAGGCAGGCACCAGGGTTACCTCTTTCTTTTTCCCTCCTTTCACCTGCCCCTCACCACCCATCCCCTCCTGGTCCCAGCCTTGCCCCTCCTTACCTCACTGTAGGTCTGACTGGAAGGGAAGAGGGTCTTAAATGTGGATCCGAACCCAATGACATTGAAGAGGCAGGCTGGCATGAGGCTCTTAAGAGCCACCACCATAGCATCCTGGCAGGCAAGAAAAGGCTTTTCAGGATTTGGAAAGGGGTTATTGCTTCTACCACCACAGGTGTTATTATCTCAGCACAGATGCTGCTTATAAACAGGCCTTTCACTGCTGTTTGTACCCAGCATCACCTTCTCCCCCAGACCGAGACATCTGCTGATGCCGACCTGAGTGAGGCTGGACCAAAGCCATCATCATAAAATTTCTCATCCGTGTACCAAGTCTGACTTCTCAAAGCCATTTGATTATGGCTTGCCAATTCCATTTCACCTCCTGCAGACCCTGAGAGGCAGGGGGAGCAGGGAGCACCCATTGCCTTCTGCCAAAACAAAATGGATGTGTAAGGGAGGCACGTGGCCCGGTCCAGGTCACACAGGTGACGGAACTGGCTTCCGGCTCTCATCCAGGGCCTTTTGCAATAGATTGACCCTAACTATCATTAACTAGGGACAAATCTCTTAAGAACAGTCTCTTTAGCTCATATTTGTTGAATGCCCAGGGTGTACTTTACATGCATTACCTTACATAACCTTCACAATGACCCTTGAAGCGGGCACAATCTTACGCCCATTTTATACAAGAGAAAACGGAGGCACAGAGAGGTGAAGTTAACTGTTGGTGAGCCTTCAGATAGCAAATCATGGAGCCAGGACTCAAACACATGTTTTTTTGCCCCCAAAGTCTGTGAACACTGAAGAGTCTTAATCTAGTTAATTATGCAACACCAGGAGACTTTGCTAAAGGTCTACTGAAAAAAAATAATGACAAAGAGGGAAAGTGGAGGAGATGGTGGGAGGGAAATAATGATTTTGGGGATGAAGAGGAGGATACAATGCAATGAGAAATATCAAGCAATTACTATGTGCCAAACACAATGCTAACCACTTTACATTAATTATCTCATTTAATTGCTAGGACAGTGGTTAGGAAGATTCACTTTACGTTAAATGTATCTGGGTTTACATCTCACCTTTGCCATTCCTAACTTGACCTTGGGCTAGTTAAGTCACTCCTCTGAGCCTCAACCTGGCGCATAGTTAACATTCAGTAAATGGTTGTTGCTAGCCACCCAATGAGATACATATTAATATTAATACCTCTATTTTACATTTAAGGAAACTAAAGCTCAGAAAGTTAAGGAATTGTGCTGGATCATAAAACCTAAGAACAGGACTGAGGCTTTCAAAACATAGCTCCGAGATCTTTATCCATGTTGGCTCTGCCTTGGTACAGAAATCAGAAACAGGGGGCTCCCCCTCATCCTCATATATTGGGTTGTCGGAAAAGTAATGACATATTTTTGCAATGAAAAACATAGAAAAAATACCTCATGACTTTTCCCACAACCCAATAGTTTATTGATGGCACCCCAGGAATCTCAGCATGGCTTCAGGGAAACAAACTCTTGCACTCCAGAATCTAGAAGCAAACAGCTGCAAGTGGGTCCTGGCAACTCCCACACTGTACAGCCTTCCAAGCTGCACAGACCTGCAGCCCCTCTTCCATTCCTCTCTGTAAACATCAACGTTAAACATGACCATTAACATTCTCTCCCCATCTCCCTTTGTTGCTTGTGTCAATACCTTTTGTTTCTCTATGAAAGAAGTCAATATCTGCTTATTTTTTCATTAGCCATGAACATATATTCCTGTGAGGAGACTCTGCTGATCCATGCAGATTGTCTCTGCTCACACCTATTAGAATTTTCAAAGCCGTGTTTTTGGCAGCAAGTGGCAGCTGAAGAATGAGGCCAGCTGCAGGAAATTAAATTGGCTGAACTTGCCCCTTCGGCACGGCTGTTTGAATTTCTATTCTCTCCTACCTCCCTAAGCCTAGTTTCCCCAAAACTTCAATCTAATGGGCTACAATTACTGACCCAAGCAACCCCCAAAGACCTCATTGCCAGTGGGGAAAGAAGTGTGCGGCGGGAGTAATTTCTGTGCCTTTTTCTAAAAGGGGCATGTGTAGCAGAATGGACTGTGCCAACGCAAAGCCATTTGTGAAATAATGACTTTGAGGTCAGTGAGCTGAACTGGCAAAGAGGGCAAGAGAGACTCCAAGGAGAAAGGGACCGAGAGGAGTGCTGGAGGAAGTTATCATCAGAGAATTCTGGAATGTCAAGGTTGGAAAGCTCTTTAGATCAGGAAATGGATTTCCACTCATGAACCAACTTCATTTAACTGGTAGTAACTCCTTGGAACACTGAGATGAGAAGGATATTGAGACTGAGTTCTAGGCTCAGTATGAAAAAAAAAGTCATGGTCAATTATTATTATTATTTTTTCAATTGGGGGATTGGGGGAGGGGAACTATGTTGGGGAATTGGGGAGAGGAATCAGCCAAGTTGTTGTTCTTCAATCTTAGTTGTGGAGGGTGCCAGTCGCCATCTGGCTGCCCGTCGGCAGCTCGTGGCCTCTAAGCTCAAGGTGCTGTGTTCAATCTTAGTTGCGGGTGGGTGTAGCCACCATCCCATATGGGAGTTGAACCAGCAGCCTTGTTGTTAAGAGCGCACGCTCTATCCACTAAGCCATCTGGGCAGCAGCTCAGTTCAAGGTGCCGAGTTCAGTCTTAGTTGTGGGCGGGCATAGCCCACCATCGAACAGGCAGTCTTGTTGTTAGGAGCACGTGCTCTCACCAGCTGAGCCATCCAGCCACTTGTTGGCAGCTCAGCAGCAGCTCAGCTCGGGCGCAGCATCACTGGCCCATGTGGGAATTGAACCAGAGGCCCTGTTGCTCAGAGCTCACGCTCTTAAGCTAACTCTTAACCAACTGAGCCACTTGGTCGGCCCCTGTCATGGTCAATGACTAATGTCTGCCTGGGCTTGGGAGAAGGGAACAGAGGAATGTGTGACATATGTTTGCCCTCCCTGAATTAGTCTTTCCTTTTCATTTTACAGAAAATATAAATGAATCCCAGAGTTGAGAATCAGCTTGTCCAAAGCCACAGAGCAAGTCAGTGGCAGAATTGATCCTGAAACCCAGGCATTGCTCTTTTCATTAAGCCATGCAGCAGAAATGACATAATCAGAAAAGAGCATTTTTCTCAGGGGAAGCGTATGTGTAATTCCCCATCAGCAATTAAGGAAGATGAGCAATGAACAAAGATATGGAAGGCTTAGTCTCCCTCACTAGCACTGTGATGCTGGGAAAAATACAGCATCTCAGGGACTCAGTTTCCTTACCTGGAAAATGGCACGGAAATGTATTAAATGCTCTCTAAGGGATGTGTAAAGATCCCATGGTACTTAGAGCAATTGAAGAGACATTTTATAAATTGGTACAGCAGTGGAATGGAATACACATGGGCCCACAGGCCTGGGGTGTGCTTGAGCACTCCAGCACTGTGGACAGCTCTCCGTTCCAATATTTGTTGTTGATGGCAGACAGGGGAGGGGAGAAGGTACCAACCAGTCTACATCCCAGTGTTAAGAGGCCTCAGTCAAGAATTTGGGTTCCATATACGATTGCTCTGTCGTACTTCAAGACAAAATACAGTCAGAGCAAGACAGAAGAGTTAGCTGGCATCACAGATCCCGCCTAACCTCTCCCCTCCGTGCTTATCTTGTTGCCCTGGAAACAAGAGTGTGCTCCAGGGACAAACTGGGAGAGGGATAAAATTTCAGGTGACAGCAAGGCCCTCTCTCTTCTTATTCCCTAATCCTTCATTCTTTTGAACTATGATCCTTTACCCAGTTCAATAAACCACAACTGAGGACTTCTTATGTATAAACACAGAGCTAGGCCCCCTGGGGAGAGATAGATGAAAAAGAGCTGGTTCTTCCCCTAAAGGAGTTCGTAACTCCAGAGGAGGAGACAGACATCTGCACAACTAAAAATATAAGGGAGCATTGGACAATGCCAAAATCGAGGTGAATAACCTCCTGGGGGAGGTGAAATGCTTTTGGCTGTATGGGTGAGGCTTTCATTGCTCTGTTTTCTGCACGACTTCAGAACTCTCCACAGCTGAGACCATGCTCCCAGGCCTGACTGGTTAGCAGGGCTGTGCCCCGCACCTGACTGTGAACTCCTTGAAGGCAGGAACAGTGTTTGAAACCTAATGTCTTTCCAGATGGCCAAGCCCAGGGCTTTGCATATATTGAATATTTGGAGGAAAAAAAGACGAACCAAATTGTCTCTACTGGATTCTACACATTCCTTGATGGTGGGGGCCATGTCCAATCTCTGATGTCAGGTGGTAGAGACAGACAGACAGACATGGGTTTAGTCTTAGACCACACTAGCTGTGTGACCTCGGGTAGGTTACTGAAACTCTCAGGATGGGGTTTCCCCTTTGGAAAATGGTGACAATAGGACCAACCTCATAGAATTATTGTCTAGATTAAACACCAAGCTGTGCATGAAATGGCTAGCACAATATCTGACATGTAGTAGGCCCTCAGCAAATATTAGTTTCCTTCCTCCCTTCTCTGTACTCCTCTCTACACAGTACCTAGAGAGGTGTTTTAGCCTGAACAGGCACTCAGCAAAGGTTGTAGGATGCCAGGGAAGGATGATAACTTCACCCCTTGTAAATGGACAACCCCTGCTCTACCTCAGTTCTACGTCTGCTCAGACCACTTCAGGGTTTTATTTTGGAATGACAAGATTGGAACTCAAACAAGGTTGAGTTTGGGTGTCTTTGTTTAAACTGATTTTTAAAAAGTCACTGTTCCTTTTAGTCATGGATAGCCATTCAGGGACATCATTCAAGTGTGGACGGAGGGCTTCTTGGAACCCAAAGCGCTGACGAAGCTGGTGTGGGGGGGACACAGCCGATTTACCTTGGAGCCCTAGACCCTGGGGGAGGGGGTCCTCTGACAGGTACCTTGACTCGGTGGATGTTGGTCCCACTCATGCTGCCACTCCTGTCGATGAGGAAGATGAACTCCCCATGGGTCTTTCTTAGGTTCGGCTGCACTGACTGGAGGTCAGGGCAGAAGTTGAGCATGATGACAGAATGGTGGGGAATGTCCTTGTGGAGACGTTTCCGGATGATTTCTGTCTGGAGGAGAAAGGAATACGCTCACTTGGGTATTCAAGGGGTCCAGCACTGCTCCTGGGGGGCTCACGCTGGTCCCCCATTACTCACCAAGCGTTGTCAAGATCCCACTCCTACTCTGCTTGAAAGACTCCCAGGGTGACTGTATCTGGCTCCTCTGTCTGCTAGACTTTCACAGGTCGCAACCGCGAGCATGGATTTGGAGGCAGAAAGACTTAGGTTTGATTCCCGGCTCTGCCCCCTTCCAGCTGTGTGATCTTGAGCAAGTTCCTCCTCTGGGCCTGAGCTTTGTTTGTGAATGGGGCAAATAATGTTCCCCTCTCAGGGCGGTTGTGAGGATGAACTGAGCTGGCACTCAGATGCGAAGCCCCTGGCACACAGGCAGGCCCTCGGCTGACTAGTGGCTTCTTTCACTTTCACACTCGGTGTGTGAGCCACTCCCTGCCTCGTCTTGGCTGTGAACTTGGTTTCCCTGGTTTACTGATTCTCTCCCACTGATAACTTCCTACTCACTCTTGCAATCCTACCTCTTTGGAAAGACCTGCCCCAATCTTACAGGTGGACTCAATTACTTTGTTTCCTCATCCATGAAGTAAGGACAAGTGTACACACCGCACCAAGTTGTACGGATTAAATGCAATGCTTGTGAAGCCCGCTGCCTCGTCATTGTTGCTATTTGTCCCGGGGGCCCGGGCGGTTCTCACACTGAAATTTTTTGGGGTCATATCTCTGCCTCCCCTCTCGCTTGGAAGGCGGGTCACGCCTGAGCCTCTTTTGCACCTCTAGGGCTTAACGTAGAACTTGGTACAGATGGGCTCAGTAAACCAAGGAAGGACACCACCATAATTCTTTGCCTTTTTATGTGTTCTCTTAGCTGGCCCTGATGTGCTGCTGACCCCTTCTTCTTGACTCTCCCACTTACTCTGCACCATATCCCATTTCCTCCATCTTCACTCTGCCTCCTTCTCTCATCACCCTGACTTTCTCTCTCTGTCTCTTTATCGGTCTCTGTGTGGACATGTCTCTTGGCATCTGTTTCTCAGCTTCTGTCTATTCGAGCCTCTTCCGCAACTCAATAGATGATATCATCACCCATCCAGGTGTTCTAACTAAAGACTGAGCAGTTGTCCTTGCTTTCTGTCTTTTCTTCACCCCGTACATCTACTCCTTAAGCAAAGGATTGCTAGTTTTGCAGCTAAAATACATCCTAAACGTGTCCTTCTTTTTGTCTCCACGGCCACCACCCAAATTCAGGACAGTAGCATCTCTTGCCTGGACCCTTGCAATAACCTCTTACTGGCCTTCTTCCTCCACTCTTATCTCCCTGTGGTCTGTTCTACACACAGCAGGCAGCACGATCATTCTCTTGCTTACGCGGTAGCTTCCCCTCATACTTTGCACCGTGGTTCATGAAGCCCCCTAGGCCTGACCCCTGCCTACCTGTCCACCTCATTTTTGCCCACTCTGCTCCCTGCATTTCAACAATTCTGACCACCTTTCTGTTTTCTAAACATGTCACCCTTATGCTGCTTCCAGTTCTTCACCATCCACAGGTCTCATCCTGAGACAGGCTTTCTCTAAATAGCTGGCTAAACAGCGCCAGTGCTTTTCACTCATTGTCACAGCTTCCTGTTTAATTTCCTCGGTGCTCCCCAGCCCTCTCCAAACTGATCTTGCTCATTTGTTTACTTCTTGCCCGTTCTCCTGTGCTAGAATGTTAGCTCCATGAGAACAAGGATGTGTCATTTTCAGACTTGCCTCCCCAGCGCCTAGAGCAAAACTTGACCTCTATTGGGCACTTGGTGTTTGTTGAATGAATACATGAGAGAATAAATCTATGTGGGCCTTTTTTTATCGGTCACTGATCTATGTGTGCATCTTTTTATTTCCTTTCAGTCTCTCTGTCTCTATTTGTCTCTGCTTTTCACTGCACCTTCTTCTCTTCTACATGGAGTCTTTCTCTGTGTTATTTGCCCCCTCTTTTCTAAATCACGGTTTTTGACAGCGTTTCCCGCCTGCTCTTCCTGATTGATGTTTAACCTCTGGATGCTGGCCTCCTTCCCTGGTGAGGGATTGCACTCTCTCTCCCACATGGAGCTCCTTTGCTGAAAGCCACTGCCCAGCCTGGCCCTTTTGATGACAGAGCCTAAGGCAGCAACAGCTACATCTGTCAGTGAGAGGCGCCATCTCCAGAAACCTGGTGTTTACCTCTCAGAGAGTGGGAGCCCTGGCTCAGGGTTTTCCCTAATGGCTCGTCAAGCTGCCATTATCCAGTTCCAATAAACTCATCACTGCTTAGCGGCTTCGGGTTGATCACCGTCATCCTTGGAACTCATGAGAATACAGGGTATTTACATAACCAACCCAAGGTGGCAAATTAATTCTCATTTGCTTCAGTGGTCCCAGAGCTAATTGACTTAAGACTTGGCAGGCAGGGGACCAGGCTCCAGCCCTCGGAGGTCCTCCCACCCACATTGCTGCCTTCCACCCACGTTGTCCATATGTTGCAGCTCTCCGTGGCACCTTTGGCATGGCCACCCCCACTCTGAGAACCTGGCTCCAGCCTTTTCTGCCAACTGACTTATCTGAGTGAGGGGGCACCTCTGTGACAGCAGGTATTTCCAGTGGGGTCTCTCGGTGGGAATGACATGTTGGGTATTGAGCCATCTATGCCTTCCCTTTGTCATCCTTCCCATCCCCCACCAAGCAGGTGCTTCCAGTAGGATCTCTAAAAACGGGGGTGACGGGAGCAGTAAGCTGTCTACACGTTCCTGTATACTGCCCATCTGCCATCTTCCTCTGCCAACCAGGCCAGCAGGAATGGGAGGGCCGCTTAAATCCAGCATAACTGCCCCGCGGGAGCAAGTCTAAGTCCTTAGCCTCGTTGTCACCAAAGCCGACTCCCAAGGGAACGGACTTCTTTTCCCAGCTCAACAGTTATTTTTGGGTGCTAAGCCTCGGTTTTTTCATCTAAAAGGGGGAAACAACAAAAAGCAGTGAGCCATCCTTCTTAAACCTATCTTGGCATTCAGGATCCAGTCGGGTGTGCAGGGCCACGAGCAGGAGAGAGACTGCTGGTGGAACTGTGCCTGTTGGCGCAGCCTCTTCCGTTTCCTTCCCCACGCCCACCCCTCTGCCGAGGGCCTCCTTGTCCTTTAGCTTTGTGAGGGAGAGGGCGGGCAGAGGGAAAGGATCTTTCTCAGGCTTTCCCTGCTCTGCCTTTATTTGTTGTGTAGTGGCCAGCAAGGACCCCAGAGGAAGGAAGGGTAAGAGACCCATTCAGCAGGTGGGAAAACAGAGGCCCAGGAGTCCAGATGAGCTGGGAGTGCACCTGACTGTAGGTGCCCAGGTGCCCCTTGGGGGTGGAGCAGCCTGGAGAAGACCAAGGTTGTTTCCTTCACTGGCCTAGAATTTTGCCTGGTTTGGGCACCTTGGTGGCACTAGGAGGACAGCACAGGGTGGCTGCTGCATCTGGAAGTGCGTTTCCCTCTGCCCCGCAGTGCCCCAGCCCACTGGGGACAACTTCGACGAGGACCTGTCTGTCACCAGCTTGCTGTGTGGCCTTGAGGAAGTCACATCCCCACTCAGGCCCCGTCTCTTCACTGGTCTGGTGAAGACCAAGTCCCCACTGCCACCCCCAGTTCCGCCACCCCTGACTCGCCGCTTCAGTCACCCTCACCTTTCGCTCTGCACTGCTGTCCTTCTTCATCCCTTTAATGAAATCTGTTCTTCCTTTCAGGTGCTGGTCAAACTCTCCCAGGGTCATGTCCCCTTTCTCCATAAGAACATGTGGCATGTGGGGCTCTGCAGAGATGAGATCAATTCTTGGCACGTGTCTGAGTGTGAGGGTGATGCTAGGGGCCTTGGTTTGGGGCTGGATCCTCATAGCAGGGAGGACTTCCAGCTGGAAGAGGGGGATGGAAGCCCTGGACGCCTGAAGCAGTGTGGGCCATGGGTGACTCACTGCCCCTCCCTGGGTCTCAGTTTACATATCTGTAAAAGGGGAGTGGGACTCTGATCTTTTCAGGTCCCAGCAGTCTATGAATTCTTAAAGAGGCAAAGAGATGCTCTCTGAGCATTCAGAGCTGTCATGGTCTCACTGAGCTTGGGTTTCAAAGATCCTCTGCTTAGCTGTCCTGGGGGCAAAGTGCCCAGTGGGTGGACAAGACACCGTAGCCTCTGGAGCTAGAACCAGGGCAGGAAATACTCAATTCCACCAGCTTGAGCCAAGTTTCCCAGGAGGCAGGTGGTTGGTCTCCCCTCCTCTGCCACGTACCCCTACCTTCTCCCTGGCTGGCCACTGGGTGAGGGGCCACGTGTCTGTGCCCTACAGGGTCAGCACCTCCTCACTCCCACGGACATCCCAGGGCCCCCGTCTGTGCACAATACCGCTGGGGTGGATGAGGATCTCCACCGGCCGGTCGAAGGTGTGCCTGTTGGCCAAAGTAATAATGATGCTCTTGGCCGAGCACGCGGACGGGGCGGCGTCAGCTCGGATCTCATGGGTAGGACTCTCCACACCTGAGTGACACAGAAAGGCAGGATAGGCTCAGGAGCCCCAGAAGAGATAGGGACTTGGTGGGGGACACCAAGACCCAGGGCAGAGATGACGGGCACTCCAGCCCCATGAGGGCATCCTGACCTGCTGTGTAACCAGGGACAGCCGTCCTCCATTTCCCCATCTGCTAAATGGGGGCTTAGATAGATGGTGTCTAATGATCCTTCCTGCCCTGGGGGCCCAGTGGGGGTCAAAGGAGTTGTTTTCTCATAGGGCAGATAAGCATAGAAAGAGTTCAATCCTTGATCGGTGGGCACGCCATAAATGCCTCTTGGGTTGGAATGTCATGCTGCTCTGGGAAAATACTCATTGACAAGGAACCATATCCTAGTGTCCTTTTAAAACCTTCAGTGGGTTGGGAAGGGGGACCATCAGAATAATGGTTCCCAACTCGGGCTGCACATTAGAATCACCCGGGAGCTTTAAAATATCCAACACCCAGGACACACCCCAGACCGTTGGCACCGGGAGCTCTGTGGCGGGAGCTAGATGGCAGGTTTGTGACACATCCTGTGGCCATTCTGCTGTGCAAGGTGAGAACCAGGAGGCCGTTTTATGGCTGCAGCCTCTAGGAGAGGACCAAGAACCACCATGCTCCCATGGACATTTCCACAAGAAAGCCATTAAGGTGGGAGTGAGGACAGCCTTGAAACCTGTCCTTGAGAAGGGGGCTCATCTTTGGGCCCTACGTTAGGCAGCAGGAAACAGGTCTATAGAGCTCCATGTGCTCCAGGTTGTCTTCCATCTGGGCTGGTCGGCTTCCCCGCCCTCCCTTTCCTCTCTATCCCTGGCAACTTTGGGCCTGCAGCACTCCCCACCCTGGGGCCTCTAGTCTCTCCGGCATCTATCCGGGTCTCGGCAGCTCTCTCTCACCTGCGAGCAGGCATGGCCCACGGATCTCCAGCTGGAAGTTGAACTCGTATTCCATGGGGTTGGACACATCGGTGTCCAGAAGAGTCGCCAGGCACAACTTGTTCCAGGAGTCCAGGGCCCGGGTGCCGAAGCAATGCCTGTCTTTGCTGGGAAGGGGCCGTGAGGAGGAGGAGGAGGGGATAGGCGGCCAGGGCCCAGGCCAGGGGCCAGCGTGAGAGGACATCAAGGAGACAATGAGTCCCAGGCCGCCCGGGCACTCCTGCAGCCCCACCTGAAAGGGGGTTGAGGAGCTTCCTCCCACCCCAGGCCCTTACTCTCCCACTCAGTCTGACTCCAGGGAGAGCCTGGATTCAGATATAGGCATAGGCACAGCTAGCTACCTACAAGGAGGGGCCAGGGGCCAGGGGCCGGGCAACGGCACTCCACAGCATTAGCTCACATTGTTCTCACCCGGACCCCAGAAGAAAGCATCAGGGCTTCCATCTCCCCTACCCGCCACATGGGGAAACCAAGGCTCAGCAAGATGAGGCAACTAGCCTACGTTCCCACAATCAAGACTTGGCAGAGCGTGCATCCTCAACCCCCGTCTGTCTGGCTCCTGTCTGACTACATCGCATGGCTTCTTGAATCTCTCCTCTGTGTCTGGGAGCTGGGAGCTCTCACACAAGCCACTTCTCCTCTAGGTCTTAATTTTCTCATCCATTAAATGGGGATAATAATGACGCCGTTCTCTTGCATGATGCTTAGCAAAGTGTCTGCCCCTGCTGAATGCTTAAGTTTCTGGGCTCTCTTTCTATCAACCCCACCCGGTCAGTGATCCCATTCCCTCCTCCTCCCCCTCCAGCACAGCCTCTCGGGTCTGTGATCTACGTCCTTAATATGCACGTATCCTTATAAAATACGCAGGGGCATTTGGTTGTGAATGTGTTGTAAACTGCACAGATTGCATTATATTATGAATCTCATTCAATTATTTCCCCTTTCTCACTCAATGCTGTGTTTTTAAGCTCCAGCCAGGCGGCTGTCTGTAAACCAGTCTTTGTTGCTGATATGCTACCTGTTATATAGCTTAAGGGCACCTGTTATATTGTATTAAGTATATTGTACTTATAGGTTCCTGTCTCCACCCCCTGTGTCCACAGGTACCACCACAATGAAGATACTCATCTGTGTCCCCTTTTTGAACTTATGAAAGAGTTTCGCTGGGATCCCTGGGTCCAAGGGCACACGCTGACTATTGTCAGAGTGCTTTCCAGGATGGCTGTCCCGGCTTCCACTTCCACCAGCACTGAACAAGCTGCCTGCGCTCTTCAACCTCACTAACACTTGGGATCATCTATTTTTCCTATTTTATCTCATGTCACTCTGAGCAACTTTTAGGTTCATAGGGATTTGATGCAGGCTTCTCCCACGAGCACCTCTGCTAACCCTGCCTGGTGCAATGGGCAGGAATAAGCTTACTGGAGCCACCTCAGGGGCATTCGGGGCCTCTGGGACCTCTTAGTCCCTGGTCCAGCAAAGTCTTGAATGTCCCCAGGTTCTTTCAAACTCACAAGGCATGGTGCCCATCACAGCACTCACAAAGGTGGCACACAAGCTGGTGTCCCTGGTCTGAGGCTGGTTTGTGCTGCCGGCTTCTCTGTTGTGCCAAGAAGTGTCCCCACCCTAGGCTTCAAAGTCCTACACGATCGGACTCCACACGAGGCCTCCGACCTCTCTCCTTCCGTCCCCCACCTGCTATGGCCATACTAGCCTGCCTGCTGCTGCTCACACATACCAAGCCTGGTGCCTCAGGGCCTTTGCTCCCGCTGTCCTCACTTACAGGAACGCTCCTTTCCATGTCTACATCCCCCTCCTCGCTCAGCTCTCAGCTGAAATATCACTCTTCAGAGAAGCCCAGCCTGCCTCTGGGACCCCCTGGTTGGGTCCCTCTTTTGTACTCTTAGCCTAACGCAAGTACACAAGCAGTTTCACATTAGTGGTGTTACTAATTGGATAACGATCTCTCCAACCGAGTTCCAGAAAGGCAAGGACCATACTGGTTTCGTGTGCTCTGAATCCTTAACACTCAGCTCAGTATCTAGCACATTCCAGGTGCTCAGAAATACCTCTTGAGTACATCGAAGAATAAAGCCTGGATATTCTCATCCCAAGCTGCCCAAATCCCAGGACTTCTGGCCAGTACCAATACAGGGCATTCCAGGGAGATTTTTAAGTGCTCCAAGCGTGAGCAGGGCTGGAGCAATTGTTCAGACGGTGGTGGTGGCCACTGCAGGGCTGAGCCCTCTGTCCACAGCCCTGTAAGCCACTCACTTCACTGGGCCGACTCCCTGCTGCCCACCTGAGACCCTGACCCTTGTCCCGTCAGGGGCTTCTTACCCTTGGGCCTGTTGATTGGAGGGGCCAGGGCTCTCAGTGCAGAACTGGGGCACAGTTGGGGCACAGACAGCAGGCAGCCGGACCCGCACAGCCCCGCTGGGCAGTGTCGGCAGCTCTGAGGAGGTGCTGATGAAGACGGTGACGTTCTCCATGGGGGCAATGGTCCCCAGGTTGACCACGAACAGGATCCGCTCCAAGTCCTCGTCCAAAGCCAGCTTTCCCAGTGTGTAGGCATGAGGGATGATGGAGACCCCCTCCTGTAGGATGTTCCCTAAGGGCCAGGCCTGGAGTCAGCAGCTGTGTATGTATTACCCCTTGTGCCCTCTAAGATGCTGTGCGGTAGGGCTGAGTAGCCAATTTTGCTGATAGGAAAACAGGCTCAGCGTGGGGGTGCACCTTGCCCAAGTTACTCAGCAAACAACTAACTCTTTGAACCAAGATCTGAACTCAGGCCTGAGTACTTTCTACTGTACCCTGCTGGGTGACCTGGATTCACAAAACCCCAACAGGGGGTCGCACCTCCATCCACAGACTCTAATTCCCTGCAAGAGTCATAATTCAAGCATCTCCCACCTTTGGGATCCATGCTGTTGCTCATGCTCTGTCCTTCTATCTGAAAGGTCCATTCCCCCACCCCTACTTAGTCAGTCTTACCCATCCATCCAACCCCTGTGTGAACACCTCCCTAAACCCCCATCTATACCCTTTTTCCCTCCCCTGACACTATCCAGACCTCTTTTGGCTCAGCCACTTTCCACCTCCTATCATGGTTATTCCTAGGCACGTCTCGCCTGTTCATTCAGGCTCTGAGTAGTCGCAACAACTTGAGGGCAACTTTACGTCTTCCACATGGTGAGTGCTCATTAAAAGATTCTTGAGTGTCCTAATGATCAGGTGAACAAACTTCACTTTGATCATAGTCCGATGATAAGAATCTCTTACATCATATGATACTTGGTCTGGATTCAAGCTCTGGCTCTGCCAATAACATGCTGTGTGACCTTGGGCCAGTCACTCGCCCTCTCTGAGCCTCAGCATCCTCAATAGCAGGCATCAGTAGCACAACCAAGTGCTTACTCTGTACCAGGGGCCGTGATGAGTGCTCTGCATACATTTTCTCTGTTGAGATTTGGGTGCGTATAATTATTAGTTCCATTTTATGGAGGAAGTTTAATTCCTTATCTAAGCTCACACTACTTGCAAGCATCAGAGTAGGGAGTCAAACCCTGGTGTGACTCATTCCACAACCTCTGAGCTTAAATGACATGCTATTCTATTCTGTAGGGATATCTTAAAAACCTTTTTTTTTTGTCTCCTTTGATCCTCACCATGCTTTCGAGGTGAGAACAGGAAAGATTACCTTTATTTTACAAACAGTAAGGCGAGGTTCAGAGAGGTTAATCATTGGTCTGAGGTCACACAGGATTCCTGACTCCTAGTTTAGTGCTCTCTCTATCCTATCCCACTGCTGCCCTTTCAGTCCACCTGAGACTCCAGCCAGGCACCGGCCCTGTCACTGTCCCTGGCTCCCTTACCTGTGACAGTTGCCGCTCGCATGCGGTTAGCACTGAAGTGACCGCTCTCCATCTTGGCTTTGTCTTTAATCTGTACCGTGACGACCCGGTCAGCAATGATCGCCTCAAAGCCGATCACCGTGGTGTACTCATCCAGTGGGTACACGAACAGGCCTGCCAGAGCAGGGCCCAGCATTATGAGGTGCCCCAGCTGCACCCTGCATGTCCCACCCCTGGGAAGGAACCCAAGCCTTTGGTCTGTCAGATAGAAGGATGGTACTCACTGCCACTTAGAGGACGCCAAAGAGGGCTCAGGCTGGAACCTCATGGCTCTGGGGCTAGCTGGGCAAGTACAGGAGCAGGCACCGTGTGAGCAGTGGGACAACTGGAAAAGGGACAGCTGTGTCCCTGTCCCAGCCACCTCTTACTCTGCAGGCATGTGAGGCCAGAGGGGCCCGGGCTTCTGACTTTTCAAGAAAGTAGAAATCTGGATTTTTATGTGACCTGTTGTGTGGGCCGAATAAAACACACCTGTGTGGTAGACTTGACTTGCTACCTGTGGCATGCAGGAGCTGGGGCTTTGGAGAAAGTAGACGAGGTTCTAATCTGGGCCCTGCCACCTTCCCCAGCCCGGTGACCTTGGATAAGACATTTAGCTTCTCTAAGCCTCACAGCCCCATCTGTGAAATGGGGATAATAGAGCCAAACTCAGAGGATCGTCATGAAAATTGAAAAAATAGTCACCACTTTTTAAGCTAGGTGTCATAGTGTGTGTCCCACATGTTTTATACCTTAGGAGCCCACGCATCACCTCAGGGTCTTCTTAAAATGCAGGTTCTGATTCAGTCATTCTGGGGCGGGGCCTGAGCTGCGCATTTCTAACCAACTCTTGAGTGATGCTGCCCATGGTTCGGGGACCGCACTCGGAGGATCAAGGTTGTACCTCATTTAATCTGCCCACGGACACTGGGACAGCACAATGCCAGGCCCTTGGTGAGCCCTCCACAAACCCTGGCTTCCCGTTCTCCTGAGCCTCAGTTTCCTCTGCTATAAAATGGGGGGAAGTGTGTGGGAAGCCAAAGGACTATCCCCAAGTTGTTCAGCAATTCAGTCTGCTGGGGCCCCAGTGGGTCTCATTTTAAGCCACTCTTTCTAGCTTTCCTTAAACAGAAGAGCAGGTTCATTTGCTCTGCGCAGGAGATTTTGGAGAGGGAAGAAAGTTTCCCTACAGGTTCATTTTTGGAACTGAAATGGTTTTAGAACCCCAGGTTGGGCTGGAGAGTGGTGCCCCAAGACAAGAAACTTGGGGGTTAGGAGGCCCCCATCACTGTGGATGGGAAGGAATCGTAACCCTAACCAGCCTTCACACAGCACCCTCCTGGCCAGCCTTCCTGTAACCCCCTTCCTTCAGTGGAAAGAGAGGAGTTAGATCTACAAAGGCCCCTTATAGGCAAATGTCCTCCCACAGTCCCGAATGCCCCACATGGATGACTCCTATTTGTGGAGTGTTTTGATTCCACACTATGCTTCCTCACACATTATCTCATCTCCTCCTCCCACAGACCCTGGTGTCCAGACAGGCAGAGGGGCATCCTGATTTTGAGAAGGATAGTGGCTTCCCCAAGGTCACAGGGACAAGATCCACACTTGGGACCGGGAACTCCTGGCTTCCACTGAGTCTTGAGGCCTCTCCTACTGTGAGGTTCCCTGGAGAAAGTAGAGGAGCAGCCATCTGACACTGGTGGGCATGCCCTGTGGAATCTAAATAGTGCTGGGACAGTTGGCTGGGGCTGAGCCCAAACCTGAGCTCAAATCCTGACCCAACGTGTTACCAGCTTTGAGGTTCGTGGGCCAGAAATGGCATCCCTCTTTACAGGTGAGGACACAGGCTCAGAGAGGTCACAGGACTTGCCCCGTGTCATTCGGCTAGTCCCTGTTGGGGTGGGGACTCAATGTGGAGGGGAAGTGGCCCTGGGGAAGCCCCGACATCAATCCTTACCCTGGAAGGGCTGGGCCTCCAGGTTGCCATAGGTGAGGGAGGCGGTCAGACCCAGGGCATAACCACTGACGAAGGAGGTGACATCAGATGCCGTGAGGGGCAGGGCTGCCCCTGTGATCTGGTTCAGCAGACCTGGCATCCCGCTGGCTACTCAGCCTTCAGGGTCTGCAAGAAACAAAAAGGACAGGAAGCTGGGGGAGGCTCCCCACCCCTCCTCAGCCCAGTCCCCCCACTTCAGACCCCATAGGCAGTCAGAGCATCATTCTCTTCATTTCCCCCACTTTCCAGGTAGTGACCCATGAGCGTGTTCAACCATCCCTGAGAGGAGAAGTGGAATTCCTTTTCTTTCCAATTCACAGTGGAGAAACTTAGGCCTGAAGACACGTGACCTGCCCGGATTCACAGCGACTGTCAGAGCCAAGCAGGCTCAGATCCAGCCTGGAATTCTCCCCGATAGACAATACTGTCCTAACTCCAGGTGGGAGGCCAGGGACGCAGCTCTGACCCCGTCCCTTTGTCAGCCCCACAGTCTCTGAGCTGTAGGTGCTTCCTCTGCAAAAGGAGGGGATTGGAATAGCTCAGCAAGTCCCTCTGTCTCTGATTTCAGTAAATCTACAGTCAACACTTGGGGTGTCGAGGAAGCGAGCAGCACCCCCAAAAGATACCAAAGTGAAGGGAGCCACCATTCCTCCAGTTGCACAGGCTGCAGCCTGGGACTCAGTTCTGGCACCTCTCCCCCCCACCCCTCGCCCCACACCCAACCTACCCCCAAGGTTGGTGATCTATCTCTGGAAAAGCTCTGTCATCCATCCACGTCTCTCCCTCTCTGCCACCAGCATCCTTCCCCCAGCCGCCTTCGTCTCTCCCTGGGCTGCTTCTCCTCAGTGGTATCTTGAATCCACTGCTTCCCCTCCCTCACCGGAATCCATTTTCTACTCAGTGGCCAGAGCAACCCACACATTGCACAGGTCTCCACCCCCCCCGCCACCCTCTTTCACCCACCAGTGGTCTCCTGTTGCTCTTAGTATAGAGACCAAACCCTTAAGATGGCCTGGGGCCCTGTGTGATCTGTCCCCATGCGCCCCTCCAACTCACCAGTCACCCCATTTCCAAACACAGTTTATGGGTCTCCCCAGCTTCTACGCCATCCCTCACATGTGTCCCGCTCTCTCCCACCTTTGTACTTGTCATTTGCTACCTGGAAGTCTCACCCCACGACCCACTTTTAAACTAATAACCTCCTCCTCCTCCTTTAGTGTCAACTCGGGGTCCCCCTCCCAGGGAAGCCAGGCCACCCAAGCCCAGCGTGCTTTGTCTGCCTCTCACGGAGCCAAGCTTCTCACATCGGGGCGCTTCCGTCCGTGTGTAGGGATGCATTTGTTTCTGTGAAATTATTTTGTTACTGTCTGTCACACCCTTTAGAATGTGTGCTCATGGAGGGCATGGCCATGCCTGTTTTTGCTCCCCACTGTCCCCTCAGTGCTGGCTAAATAAACACAAGAAGGGATGACTGTCATTCCAACATAGCACTTCCCAGGACAATGTAGCGATTCTCTATTGGGTTCCTGAGACCCACCCACCCGCCCCAGGTAACCACTGTCTTTGGGAGGTGGGGTGGGAGTGGGAAGAAGAGATAAACAAAGGGTGCGGAATAGGAATTCGAGGTCAGGTTCCCTTTGGGTTTCCTGCTCTGTGCTGTCTGAGCTGGGCTGGTAGCCTGCTGCCATATATTTGCAAGGCTGTCCAATGAGTGTTGGCCGCTCTGCCTTTTCTCAAAGGAGGCAGCTCTTCCCCTCCAGGTCCTCCTCATGGCCCCGGCGAGGCTCCTCAGTGCTCCCGCCCCCTCTGCCAGGCCGGCGCTGCCGTTTTAATTATGTTCTCCTTTGTGGCTCCTGCACAGGCAGCTTATCTCCAGCAGGCTGGTTGACTGACAGGAGGAGGCAGATAAGGAGCCAGGAGGGAGCTGCTGTGTCCCCAGCTGCCTTCTCTCAGGGGCTCTCTGTCCCGGTGGCCCCAGCAAAGCCTGGCTACTCCCAGGGGTCAGAACAAGATGACTGAGTTCATTTTCTGAGCCATGTCTCCTGCCACCCACAGTCCCTCCCTCCTGCTTCTCACCCTGGTTCACTCCTGGCCAGAAGGCTCACTGAGGAAAGCAGTTTCAGGGAACTAGCGCCCAGAGATGTGGCAAACTTGGACTTAAGCTTGGACTTCACCTCTTGGGCTGAAGTTTTGCCAAAGGCATCTTATCCGACCCAGTCCTCCCCACCCTGCCTCTGGTGCCCACCCCAGGCTTCCTGGGGAGGCCCCTCACCCACGGAGTGGGGCTTGGATGAGCGATGTTGATAATACAGGGCAACTCACTCGGAACTGATCCTTTAATGGTATCAGCCCTCCTGGGAAGAGTTAACTTGAAATTCTTTGGGGCCTAATTAATGCATATTTTCATCAATTCATCCAGCATTGATTGCCACCTGCTGTATTCCAGGCTCTGAATTAGCCACTGGGAATACAAAGATAAGAGAAGACACAGCTCTGTCCTTAAGGAGCTTACAGTCTAGCGGCAGAGGAAATTGGGGGATGAGGGAAGAATTGTAAAAGCAGCTCGGATTTATTGCACATTGAAAATGTGCCAGGCACATACATTATCTCACGTAATCCCCACAGGAACTTTATAAGGTGCATTACTGTTTTGCAGATGAGGACATTGAGGCCTCAAGAGGGATGTGTTTGGTTTTGCACATGAGTTTGTATTTTGGGGCTCCTGAAGGACACAGGGGTACCATGGGCATTTGTGTAGGGTTTTCTCCTGAGAGGAGCCCAGGGCCATCCTTGTGACTGCAAATATTGCTGGGTGTCCGCCCTCCAACCATCCCAAACTGGGCCTCTCGTGGGTACCAGGCCACAGGAAACACCCAGGAGAGACAGGACAGGGAAGAAGCCACCAAGGGTGTGTCCAGGATAGTGTGAGAAGCGAGGACTTGGCCTCAGGAACGGGGTGGTGTGAGAGGGTCTGAGGTGGTGGTATGGGCTGGTTTCAGTGTGTCTGGGCCAACATGGTTTCTTCCTCACTTTCCCCAATCTGGCAGACAGCCTGTCTTTGCCCAGGTCCCTGACATGTGCGATGCTGAATATGGGAAAAGGACTGGAGGAGTGAGAGAAAATAGACAGGGGGCTGAATGGGCCGGGGGAAAGGACGGGTGGGCGAGGGGGAGGCAGGGAGCACTAGAGACTTTAGAGCAGCCACGGGGAGAACTGGGGAGGAGAAAAGAGAATTTTAAAGGCACGCCTTGAATTACAAGTTGGGCCCCATTTAATGTTCTTCAAGAGGCACAAAGCAAGCTTTGAATGATGTGGGGTGTCGGACTGTGCTTCTTTGCATGAAATGTGGTGCTGGACTTGAGCCCTGAGAGTTCTCCACAGGTTCTAGAAGGCTCCCCAGTGAGTGTTCTGGACGGCCTAGAGCTTTTAATTCCCAAATGATCACTGTTCTTTGCGCAGGCCTCTTTGGGCAAAGCCTAGATTTGAATCCTGGTGGATAACTCGTTGCCCTGCTCAACCTGAGTGAGTCACTATAAAACTGGGTAAGTGCAGGGGCTACTGGTTCCCATTTTACAGGCCCATGAAGAATAAGTTGACTAAATTGTATAAAGTACCCAGTACAGTGCTTGGTACAGAGTAGGTGCTCAATAAATATTTATAAAGTGAAAAGAATGAATGAATGAATTAATTAATTAATGAGTGAATGTCAGCAGGCTCCCAAAGACACTAAGCTTTAGTGATCACCTAGGTGCTGGGAAGACAGTGGGGAACCAGGCAGATATGAGATAGAAACTAATGGAGGAAACAGATATTAAGTAAAGCTGCAAGCTAACAGATTCAAAATTCAATCCCTTTTTGTCACTGCCGCTACCTTCTTGTCCCGCTACCGTCTATTTCCAGTGGAGCAGCCAGAGTGATCCTTTGAAGACACGACCCAGTCATGTGACTCCACGGTTCAAGCCCCTGGATAGCTCCCCATGGTCTTCAAGGCCCCCTTCCCCCTCCCCCCGATCTGGGCCCCATGTCTGTTTCCTTTCTGATCTCCCCATCAATGACTTCATTCTAGCCCTTCTCCTGCCTTCGATCGCTTGCACTGGCTGTTCCCCCTTCTGGGAATGCTTTTTCCTTAGATATCCATGTGGCTTGCTCCCTCACTCCTTCAAGTCTTTGCTCAAATTGCACCTTCTCAGGAAGACCTAACCTTAATACTGTATTTAAAACTTGCAACCCATCCCCCCATCTTCACTTCCAATCCTTCATCCTGCTCTGTTTTTATTTTTTTTCCATAGCATGTATCACTAATATATTATATATAGTATATGAAATATTGATTATGCTTATCATCTGCCTTCCCTCAACCAGGGCAAGGATTTGGGGTCTGTTCTTCTCACGGATATATCAGTCCTTGTACTGTTAGTAGGTGGTGAATAAATATTCGTTGAATGAATGAATGAATGAATGAATATGTAATCACGATGTAAAGCTGGCCGTTTCTGGGTTTCCCATTGGTCCAGCTGAGGGAGAGAAGTCCTCTGGCAGCTCCTCTGAGATGTTGAAGCTAAATCCATTAGTCTCTCGTCCCAGGGTTTATCAGTCAGAGCCCTAAATACACCCTCCCTGCTAGCATGTGGGTCCCACCCATCTTCTAACAGACCATCAGTCCACAGTGGATGCTCTGTTATTCTGTGCCCCCTGAGCCAGCCCCTGGCCATCTCCTGCCTCTCCAAACCTCCCACTGTACCTACTGCAGCCACCACTCCATAGCCAGCAGGCTCCCTGTATCCTGTGTCTCTTCTGAGACTCTTTCTGTGTCCTTGTCCAAGGGCCTGCTTCATTGCAGTCCTCTCCAGGAAGGACTGATTATTTCTCATCACCCCTTAGAGTCAAAAGGTGGGGTGGGTGCCCTCCTTGGTCCCAATCGCTGCTCCAGGACCATCATTCTTCTATCCTCTTATAAAACCCCTTCTCCTTAGGGGGGGGATATTGCCTTTTGGCTACCCCCCACTTTTGTTGCTTACCATCTCCAAGGTCCTGATCACACCCTTCATTTAGCAAATACGTGGCTCCTGGCTCAGGGCATCCTCTGCTCTCCAAGCCCTGGCATCACTCTGGGTGACTCTAGCATC